TTTTCAAATTGAAAAACACAGTTTTGTCAAAACACACAAAACTATTGCATTAAAGTAGAGGTCCAAAAATATTAATTTAATTTGCTAAATTTTTAGGATTTTGATTTGATTATAGTAATTTATATTTTATTAAAAATTATTAGATAATAACAATTAAGTAATTAGTTAATAATAAATTAGTTACATGAGATGCATTAAGATATACTAAAATATAACATGGAAGTTAAATAGCACAAAGGTATTTAAGTAATTAAAAAGTTTAAACGTCCATCTAATGTAAAGGAATAAATTGATAGAACAAACAAACTTGGCACATAAACTCAATAGCAGAGCTACGGCATAGAAATTTTTTTCTCCATAGCTTTCCATACATTTTGCATATGAGCAGACACATGAAGATCTAGTTCATTGGTTAGCCAAATGGATTGAGTTTTTCTGATTATACAACGACACCTTAGGAATTATATTGTTAGGTTACTTCCTGTATTTTCCGTGACATGGAACAAGAAGCTAAAGAGCACAAGTGCATTCAAATGCACACTTGCACACAGGCAAGGACACACTTGTAGTGAACATTCTTTATCCACAAAAACACAAACAGGATATCAAGAGAGAGAGAAGAAAAAAGTATCCTTTGCTTTGCTACCATCATGAGATTAATGCCAGGTACAATCACGAACTAGTTAGAGTCCAACAAAGTTCAGAAATGTTAAAATGACTTTGATCGCATTTTTTCAAGCATTTAATCACCTATAACAACAGATAAAAATTGAGGATTTTTTCTGAGCCATTGAAGTACCTCTTCTGCAAGTAAAAGAAATTTCTGAGATTCATCAGACCCGTAACCAGATGCTCCTAAAGCCAGCATTCCAGGAACAAAGCATGCTAATTCATCCATCTGCATAGAAGTATCGGAAATTAAACAAGTGCTTGAACCATCAGTCAGTTAATTATTAGAGAAACATTGCTACTATAGTAACCAAATATTTTATAATTACTTTATCTGTCAAAGAACCGCCATTCCTCTCACAAATGTATGTGAAAGATGATGGTGTTGTTCTCCTAACCAAGCTTAACAGACCTTTCATTGACGTCTCCCACATTTGCCTGACATGGAAATGAATAGAAAAAAATTAGCAACTGCAAGACCATAGTTATCTGGATTGCTTAACCCCCTTGTGATCTAGACATACTGAATTTCTTTTACCAGTTTGTGCTGCACACTCACTTTGGTTATTTTTGGTTCTCCACCTGGATATCGTATATCAGGGAACCAGAGATTGGGAGTAATATAAGAAATTGGGTACAGTAGCATTCCAAAGATTGTGAGAGAAAAGAAGGTAGGAAAGCGCTAGGAAAGAGCAACTCGTGTCCTAACTTTATCTTGAAATTGAGACTAGTTAACTTTGCCAACAAAAAAAAAAGAAGAGATCAATTAAGGATGTACACGTCAAACTGAGGTGCCAAAGTCCAGTAATCAATGTTTTCTTTCTTGGCACTTAAATTATATTGATTATCTTTCTTTTGTAGTATATTAACTCAACAAGAGTATTGATATTCTTATTCTAACTATGAAAAGGATTTGAATTCTATACCTTCCATGTACAAAAGGACTAGGAACCGGAAAAGCAAGAATTCATTGAAAAAGTATTACTTACAACCCAAGTAATGAACCTAAAAAAGTATACCATAAAAGCACTTAAGAAAGCCTTTCTTGTAGATGCTTTCTAGACGTTTCTATCTACGATAAATTTCCCATCTACTCATC